CTTGCTGTGCAAACGTCATTTGTTACACTCATAGTGATCATTTGTTGTAGCATCTGGCAGTGTGATATTGAAGTCACCACTGGAGAGCTCAGTGACATTTACTTTGTGCCAATTTTTCAAAGACATTAACAGGAGTATTACAGCACGTAGGTGTAGAAACCCAGGTCAAAGTGGTTCGCAGATTGAACATTCCAAGAACATTGAACTCATCTGATATTACTACAATCTCGAAAAATCGTGGACAGTGATTTTGCGAGTTGGAAACGGGTGAAGAGTGATCGTTATAAAAAACTTACCACATCTGTACCATGAAAGGACAGCAGAATGGCGACGTATTCACGGAGTTTGTCAGCCATGACAGCATTCCTGCCGTCGTTGACGGAGCCGCCATGGCTCAAGCAACTGCTTCCCCAAAGAAAAAACTCCTGACACTAGAGCAGGAGTTCAATCAGTTGTTCGGAGGTGATTCTGGAAGGGATAACAAAAAGATCAGCAGTTTCCTACGGACATGCCGCATGTCACCGAACGAGGCTATTCGGTCCTCACTGTGGCAGGCGCTGTGCGAAGGTCTTGATAAGAGTCCGGGACAGATGTACCAAGAGACAGTTGGCGAAATCTTTGGACATGGTGAGTTGACATGCTTTTGTTTTAAAAACTTGTTTTTTCTTACTTATTTTTCATTTATTTATTGATTTTTTGCACCTATAGAGATCCNTTACCTTGTTTGCTTCACAAAGAAAATTTATCTCAGTTCTCTGGACCTTCAATTGTAATTCGGGCATTTGGAGAAGTAAACTGGTTCTCATGAGCCATGCTGTTTTATGCAGAGAGTCTTTACGGAAAGACATTGTAACGATGAAATTGCATGTCAATCAGTATAAACCTGAGGTGCCCTTATGCTGACGAGGGGCAGATTTCACATAGTTATAATTTAAATGGAAACTTGTGGAAAACTTGCTAGCTCACCACGGTATCTTGTATATAGTGTAGAGTAAGGATGTTTTATGGAACCCTGAACAGCAAATTAATTGTGTTTATGGTTATCATCATGGAAATTACTACATTCCCAGGGCTAACAGCAAGATGTAGACATTTAGTGTGTGTGTGTGTGTGTGTGTGTGTGTGTGTGTGTGTGTGAGAGAGAGAAGAGAGAGAGAGAGAAAGAGAGAGAGATTTCCGCAACAAAACTCCTAAAAGAATCATAGTTGGATTTTCCTCCATCTGAAGAAGATTTGAAAAGGAAGGTGCATAAATTAGCTGGATTCTTACTTTTTTACTACTGAAAGGCTGTGAGAGTATGTGAGTTGGGGAGGGGGAAGGGATCATCCTATCATCCATATTATGCTTTATTTTGTCTTTACCCATCCTGTCTCTGTGGATAGATTGATTGATTGGTTGGTTGATTGCACTCATTACAAGGACTAAAAAAAGTCAACCATTTCCCGATATTCTACTAATTATCTTCAAGGCATAGCCACATGCGTCAGAAGTATAATAAAATAGTTTGAAATGATTCTTTGATAACACGTCAGAAGAATCAGTGTCCTATGCTGGTGCCTGGATATTCAAAGAGCACTGTACATGTACTAGTAGGTGTCTCTGCCATGCTAACAGGTGCCGCATATCATCAGGTTTATTTCCCCTCCTAAACTTGTATCAGTTGGTAGCTCAGAGGTGACACTCATAAGTGACCTAGAAATTTGCTCAGGTGGCTGGCCTCGCTGTTATTAAGCACTCACACGCCAGAGGCAGTTGTTCACTTGAAAAGGCACCGAGCTGGTAAAAAAAGTTAAAATTTTACAGAACACTGGCCAGGTCTTACACCCAGTTTACCTGAAGGGTTAGTAGTTTAAAAATTGTTTGGCACATAGCTGTGAATATCACTTGGCCGCTCTCTAAATAGCTACTGTATTCAGAATTTTAAAAAGATCTACTTTTGAGAATACATCTTTAGAATTTCAACCACCTGTGAAAGAAGTTGTTTACAGTGATATACTGGCAGAAAGTAGATTATGTTGACAGGTGTTCCACACTGACACTGAACTCCAAATGATGGACTCACAAATACATGTTTAAATAGTTATCTTTATCTTAAAGGAAAGGCTGCCTGCCAGTACACATGTTCTGTCTTGTACTATATTTTTGAGATACAGGCCTTTGGTTAGCAATTTCAAAAGGGTAAATCGCGAATCACGTTGATGAATTTATACCAATAATGCGGAACAAAAAAGTTCCTGAATCACGTTTCACGCAGAATATTGAGCTCAAATACCAGTAACGCATCATGCTCGAAAAATAAGGTCAATCACACGTAACACAAAAGGTATTCCCTACCCTCTCTACTGAGGGCTAAGAACCGTCATCCCCCCCCTCCCCTCTAAATAAGAAACAAATATTCTGGTGTGGGCTCAGATCTGTCATATCTCTCCCTCCCACTCCCATTCAGAACAGGCCTGAGGTGAAAATATTTTGGCGCAGGCTCAGCTCTGTCCTGTCTTGCCTGTGGTCTCACCATGGTCAGTGGTAACCAGGGTCAGAGGGTCAGAACATGCTGGGTAATTTGGACAGGACTCACTATTGGCATGCATGTACTTTCATTTTGTCATGTTTTTAACCAGGCACATTGGCATTGTCCCAGCCTGTGAACACGTCCATGTGACATGTGAACAAGTCCAGTCCACGGTTCTAGCTTGCCAGTGGTCAAGTGATGACCTGTGGTCAGCTGACATTGCAAAGGTCAAGTTTTAATGGACATACTTAGCTGACAGATGCTACATGGGTTGAATGTAAATGATTGTTTTTTGTTGTTGTTTTTTCTCCACAAAAACAGATTTTTTTAATAACCAAACCTGATGGTCTGCATACATGAACTCTTGTAATACAACTTTGATTAACTGATTGATCATTATGGGGGGCGGGGGAGGTTAGATATAATCCAATTTGCTTAAAATTGTTCCCATATATTGGGTGTAATTTCACTGTAATTTCCTGCCCCAGGCTGGAACAGTTCACTGGGTCTCTCAAGGTTGTACATGCTTCCCATCTCTACATAATAAGGTTTGGGGTCAGTTTTCACAAAGGGATGAATTATCAAAAGTGGGCCTTAATATTTATACCAAGATTTTGGCATTCTTTTATTTTGAGTGAATAATATGACTTGGTCTCTACAGGATGAACTCATACTTAAAAATAGGAGGTCTTATGGATATTTACATTCCATTTATTTTCTAAATGCTTAAAAGCTTTTACTAATCTTGACCTTATTGAAATAATGTCAGCATAGGAAGAACCTGTTGTTCACCAGTGACTGCTTGGTAGGATTAGAGTAATCCCCTCATCCATTAAATATATATAGGTATTGAGCAACCATACATCTGACGTTTTGTAAGTTTAAGGGGGCTGTTCAGGATTAATTTTTACAACCTGGCCAATGGGCACCATCTTCACTGGTACTCTAGCTAAATGCAATCAGGTTAACAGACTAACACACCTGTTTTCAATGTACTCCAAAAATCACCAGTTTTTCTGAATTTTACTCAGTGCCAAGAGGAGGTGTGTTAGTCTGTTAATATGATTGCTTTCAAGGAGAGTCCCTGTTCATGGGCTTTGGCTAGGGGGACAAAACTCATTGGTAACATGAGTTGGAACAATTTTAAAAGGTTATCTGAGTAAGATTTTGGATGCTGTAGATGTGCTGAGTATCAAATGTGTTAGTTGAGATGAGTATTGATTGTGAATTGTTTGATTTGTACTGGTTTGTACTTGACTAGTACTGGATCAGCTTGAAAAGAGCTTGCATGTCACTTTTTTAAAATGCAAATGTCAGTTATTGTCATGTTTTAGTTTGAGCTATTTTTTTAAGATTGATAGTTTGAACGCAGAGAAACTGCATTATGTTGCTTTCAATTGCTTTATGTCTAGATTGTTCTCTTTATTATCTATACAGCTCTTGCCAGTCTGAAATATTTATGTGCTGACAAAAAAGAAATGCTTAATTTGATAATTTCTTTTAAAACTTTTTGAAAGCATGTGGATTTTTTTAAAGGTTAAAGAAAAAGGCCCCCTCTCTCTAGGTATTCTATTTTGGGTACACATTTTTCAAAATAATTCAGTCAAATTGCCAATAAAAAAACATTTATGGACTAATGGTTGGCGGGCTAAATGAAATCAATGTGGCTTGCTTTTATCCCCAAAAAACATCCCTAATTTCCAGGTGCAGAAAAAATGGTGCGATCCCAAAGTGTGGTCGCAGATAAAAATTCTCACCATCGCATGCGGCGCAACCAGAGTTACTATGGAAACTGGGGGAGCGTCAGTTTCTCCTGTCCTGGTATGTACAGAGTGGCTTGCAGCACACTAGATGACCTTTGACCTCACTTTGACCTAGATTCTGTATTATGGGTCATAACCTTTGGCCTCTGCCCTTTGACCTTGCTGGTATTTTTTTCATTTGCAGGACTTTGGAAGTGTGAGGCTTCTTCTTAGTTTGCTGCTTTGCATAAAAGGTTTTTGCATCTTGGTTTGACAGCTAAATCTTACAGTACTTTGTAGTTTGTAAGCTAACACTAGCATAGCAAATATCAAACATAGCTTGCTGTCATTCAATAAGAATAAGTATATAAATGGGGAAAATTAAGTCATGATTCTCACATTGATTTGGCTGAAAAAAAAAGTGTAGCCAACTGAGTTAACAGTGTGCTGCGTGGGGCAGTAGTGGTTTGCTTTTTAACAATTTATTAATTGCATCTTTGAAATTGATTTTGCACTTTTGCTTATTATTTGGAATGAGAGGTTAGCATTAACCAACAGTGTAAGGATTGTATCCTGATTGTGTGGATTGTTTTGATAACAATGCACGATGTAACGCAATCAATACTTCATAGCAAATGGAGTTTGTATACATGTTTAATTTGAAATCTGAAAGATTTAATCAATTTCTAATAGCATGAGATAATTCTATTGATTTCTGGGATAGAATTCAATGCTTGGAATTTCCACACACCTAGAAAATTTTACAAACTATGATTTTTATTTAGAATATGACTTACAGCTGGCTGATATCAAATAGTATACATAACATTAGTTTGCATTATATTGTAGTGTACACTGATCAAACACTTTTTACTCAATATCTTGATTCTGTTTAAAGTAGTCTCTGAATTAAAAAGTAAATTTTTAACTGACCACTTGATTGCATTGACTGTATTAGCAGTTTTTCATTTCTTATTTATGGACATGGCGTTTTAGTTGGTATTTACAATTACTTTAACCAAATCCATTTGATAATGGTGATGCACTTGATTAACTAAAATTTTCAGTTTTCAGCCAGATTGTTACCTGACATATGGGTTGTCTTAAAAGAAGTGATTGGACATTGCTCAGGTCACCAAGAATGTGAAACCATTCATAAGCTGGACATATACTTCATTTTGTCTTTATTTTTATGTCTACTGCAAACTATATCATCTCATTGTGTTACAGCTTCAGGGACAGTCTTCTCTTGCACTATAGTGCCATCTATGGATTATTTTATCATTTTGTTCCTTATTAATGCCATCTGTATGTGTATATATATATATATATAATTTCACCTGTTTCAGTTTGCCACCAGCAGGGTATATTATAACTTTTTAAGTCATAATTTTTATGAAAGCAATACATTACAACAGTAATGAAGAAGATCCTTTCTTGATTCAGAGCGCCATCTAGACATCACGCTCCCTGCCTTCGTAGACCACGAGCTGACCACGCATTACTTCCTGAATGAGCAGGGTCTTCAGTGTGCCAAGCGTATCATATGTGTCATAGCGTACACCGAGCCTGACATCACCTATAGTCCTGCGCTATTCCCGCTCACTTGTCTTTGTCTGCACTATATGGCAGAGGAAGACGCTTTTAACGCAATCTATGGTCTGTTGCATAGTAAGATGGGGCATATATCGCAGACCAAGCTGGCGTATCAGGCCACGGGACTGGTAATAAGGGACCTCACCAAAAGATTTGTTGTAAGTAGAGCAAGGAGATAAAAGTAAATGACCTACATGTGAAGTCAGATATAGAGGCAATATGTCTATGGAATTAGAAGTGCATCACCTAGATTTTTGTCTTTATCTCTTCATTTGAAGACCCATTGTCTCAGGTGACAGTCTAAATTGTACAATTTTTTTACTTGTTTGAAAAAATTACACTCATATTTATCACACCTAAAAATGAAAAAAAAAATGTGCAAACTGTCTAATGGTGTTCTGAATTTTTTTTCTGATTTTCATGTGTATTTTTTTTTCCTTTCCAGAAATCTGCCCACAGCTTTATAGAGCGCAATACAAAGCAGGTAGATGTAGTATTTGAAGGCTGGCTCTGGTGGTTGCTCAGAGATCTTCCATTTTCTTACATGGTAAATATCACATTGTACTAGGTGAGATGGTTGAGACGCTGACATTGTACATGTGAGATGGTCACATTGTGGTATGTGAGATGGTTGAGATGGTCACATTGTGCTAGTTGAGATGGTTGAGTTCTTCACATTGTGCTAGGTGAGATGGTCGAGTTCTTCACAATGTACTAGGTGAGATGGTTGAGACGCTGACATTGTACATGTGAGATGGTCACATTGTGGTATGTGAGATGGTTGAGATAGTCAGATTGTGCTAGTTGAGATGGTTGAGTTCTTCACATTGTGCTAGGTGAGATGGTTGAGATGTTCCCCATGTACTATGTGAGTTTAAAATGTTGACAGTGTGGTACTAACATCAAATCCAATTGCAGGAACAGGTTCAGCAATGATTCTCAAGAACAAAAAAAAAAATTCTTGAGATTTTTTTTCCCCAGGAAAAAGCGGATATGGCACAGAATTTTGTTTATGACACCTTTAATGCAGTGAATTTTTTTCCTTCTCAGTTACGTGTGATAGACTGCTATCTGTTTGAAGGGCGTAAAGTGTTGTACAGAGCTGCACTGGCTGTGTTACATCTCTTCCAGAAACATGCAGGTCAGTGGCACATCTAACACAATGGCTGCAATGCTCGCTCTCTCGCGCTCTCTCTCTCTCTCTCTCTCTCTCTCTCTCAGATATTGGTAGAATATTTAGATATTTAGTTCAATAGAAAAAATTATTAAATCATTAATATATATATATATATATTAATTAACACAATACTACAACTGCCCTGTTAATTAAAATGCTGTATTATTTTTCCAGCGAGAGACGGTGCAATAAGTACCAGTGCTGCTGTCCAAGCAGCCATTAGTCAGTTCTGCAGGGATATTAAAAATATTGTTACAGTGGAAAAATTCTTAAAGGTAAGAGTGACCTCCATGTAGATGTTAACATTTCAAACTCACCTTTAGAAGTGCTTGGTTGTAGAAAGTTTGACCTTTGACTTGATGTTACAATAGAGATCTCTCATAAGGAATAAATACAGATATAGTGACTATTGGACGACCTGTCAGGGAAACTGAATCCGATATCACCTCTTTCTTGGCCAAATTTTAGAGGACATCTTTTAAAAGGGCATTTCAATCGCACTTTAAAGAAAAATGTTTCCCCACTCCCAGAAAATAAACAGACATAAAGCACTGAGATTTTATGTAAACTTAAAGAAAGCGGTTTCGAGGTAATCACATCCTGTAACCATCAGAAGGAAAAGACCTTGAGCATAGATAGTAATGGTTGTAGTACAGGAGTACAGGTTTATTTATGAGTAAAAAGGTAAATTACCTGTGTAGCTGCCAGATATATAGGTCTAGGAGGGATAATGATAAAGCCATGAGGTATAAAATGTAGTATAGAGCCAAGTTTACTGCAGAAATCAAATATAAACTAGACAGACATTATGAATGAAAAAGTATCAGTGGGATTTTATTTGTAATTATTGATCAGATAACTGAATATAGGTTAACCAAAATGGAGATGAAAAAGAAAAAATGTTTTATTTTATTGTTAAGTCAGTTTCATTTTCATGCTCTTTGGAAAAACAACAGTTACTAAAATCCAGGTGAAAAGCAGTGTGTTGTTGTTATTATTTTTATTGCCTGTACTATAACATCTGTGAGCTATTTATGAATGTTGAGTCATAAATCCTGGTAATTGGACATCATCAGCTGAGAAGTACCGTCTTCTTCTAAGCCCAAATGCCACAGAAGTCGGATTTCTTGTGACCTTTTCTCTGCTCCTGGAAACTAGAGCTGTACAACAGCGAAAGTGTACAGGGTTACTTACATAAGAAGTAGAACATTTGAGGATTTCTGACTCCAGACGTTAGTTTTAGAGACAGTTTGAAGGAGAAATTTTATAAGAGGTAGAACTCTGTAGGGTTATTTTCTTTGGTAATGTGTTAGTGACTTGTGAGGGCACACATATTTGGATGCCAAGGAAAACTTGAAGAACTTTTGGAAAAGGCTTATGCTATAGTCTTAGAAGTTGAAAGTCTCAGTTTAAACCCACTGAGCAAAATTTCTTGGAGCAAGATGAAGAACTTTCACAGGAGGTAGAAGATTTCTTTCTGTGGATAATGCTTGGAGGATGTGTTTGACTGTATGCTGAAGGAAGCCATCACTGAATTCATAGATAAGGAACAGGGCTGTTGCACTTCAGTTAATGGAAGTGACTTTCCTATCACTAGATCCAAAAGTGGTTTTAGCAAAATATTTAGGATTCTGATGTCTTGCATACGTAAGGTTTTTAGTCGGTAAAAGATACTGTTGACTACTTAACACAAGGTTGTTAGTGTGGAATTGGAATACACACATTACACAGATAAACATGAGTGATGGGAATAAAGGAAAATGGAAGAGTACTCCCAACCTTGCAAATCTCAGTCTGCCCAAGATCGTTGTTGTAAGTAGTATTTAGAATACAACCAGGGGTGAGATTCTTCAGACGGTTGGCAGATTTAAAACTTTGGGAGTCAAAAATGTCTTTTTTGAGATTGAAAAAGACCTGCAATAAAACTGAATCCCACACCTTATTTTCAGTCTTTCTCAGTATAATGTAATGGAATATAAGTGGAGCTAAAGTCTGTACGCACAGCTTGATAATATACAGGGTTTGTAACAAGTGCTTTAGGAGCGTGCTTTAGCTTTAAAAATACAATACCTTTAACGTAATATGTGCAGCCCATTGAGTAAAATGGTGTTCATACATCTCAAATTTTCAGCAAATGCTGATGAGAAATATGTATTTGGGCTTTCATCAAAAAAAAAAAAAAAAGAAAGAAAGAAAGAAAAGAAAGAAAAGAAAAGTTAGCTTGATTTTAAGATAAATTCGATCAATTTTTCATGACAAGTCAGGAATGGGTCAACTAAAAATCCATTATATTTTAAAAGGTGATTCATTTATTATAAATAAATCTAGAATTAAGTTGCCTTAGAGAAGGTTGGAACTCTCAGACTGCTTATCTAGTTGTTTTTCTACATCTTTTTCAGACGGCATTTGGTATCCGAGGGCTCAAGCGGAAGGATATCAACAAACTGTATGTTAAACATGACATGTTCCTAAAGAGTAAGGTTCACCTGAGGGTCGGCAGCAGTCATGGACTGGTCAAAGCCAAGTCCTCGGAGTCGCTCGGACCTATGCGGGCAAACAAGTCATTTATTGGACCTCCCATGCCTATACATGAGATTAACTCTACCATTTTGTCACATGATGAGGTGAGGAGGGGGTGGGGAGTGGGAGGAGGAGGAAGGAGAAGAGGGGAGGGGAGGGTGGGGAAGAGGGGTGGGGAGTGGGAGGAGGGGGAGGAAGGAGATGAGGGGAGGGGAGAGAGAGAGAGATTGGGTGGGGAGGAGGTAAAAAAAGGGAGTGGAGGCTGAGAGGTGGAAGAGAGGGGAGGAGTTGAGGAGGGGGAGGGGTTGGGTTGGAGACGGGGGGGAGCTGACAGGAGGTGGGGAGGAGAAGTGGAGCAAAATTAATTTTAGATGGAGAATAAGTTAAATATTAGCCTTGGAAGGCACTTTCTTTCTATCTCTGAGTTGTATGCACTGGACCCTTTCAGACTAATATTGAGACTAAATGTAATACTGCTTCTCCCCTTTACGCTCTATTTAATTATTTAACATACTCAACTCTGTTTACATATATAACTTTAATTCTTGCACTTACCATTCATTAACACTAATGAGGGTTCTATTGAAATTTATGTGGCTATTATATACTTGACATCAAATGTGTCAGTTGTGAAATAAATTGTGCCGGGTGTGAAATCAAATGTGTCAGGTGTGAAATAAATTGTGCCGGGTGTGAAATCAAATGTGTCAGGGATGGTGTAAAATGTGCTGGCTGTGACACGTACATATCTGACACAGCGATATGATGTTGGAGGTTACAGATTAAAAATGGTGACACTAACATTGTGTTTGAAATCTACCAGTGTGTTAGGTGTGACATTTTCCATCAACTAACATCTCTTCTCCAATTTTAACTTGCTGCCTCTCCAGTGGCTTCCATGTAATCGCAAACTCGGGAGGTCAAGGTCAGTGGGTAGAATTGCGCTGGCCGACGCTAAGACTAATGTTTTGACTTTGGAACAAGTGAGTACTTGACCCTCTTAGCTGTCCTCCTTGTGGGGGTCAGTTTGGTGGTCAGACATCCCATTATTTATAGATGTCCATTCAGTTGTGCTCAGACTTTGGTGTAGACTTGGATCAATGTTGCTTTTAATGGTGTATGTTTCAGTTTATCCATTTTCCTGGTAAATAACACTCTTAAGCTTTCTCTTTAAGGCTTCAATTCAATGTATCAACAGTGTCTGTGATTTAAAGTGAAAGTGTATGAGAATTTAACTTATTTGTACCAGAGTTTATGTTTATGTTTACATGTTGACTGTTCAGCCCACTGATGTTATTGTTGGGTAGGTTGTAGGGTTAGTTGAGACCTAAACCGATCCAAGTTTCAAGTCCCAGTCTGAGCACACCTTAGATTTTTAATGTCAGAATTACTGACGTGTGACCACAGGTTTGTACAAAATTATATGTCGCATTTTACCATTGTAGCTTGGGTTAATTTTTTGGCATAACTCGAGCTTTCTTTGTCTACATGATTGATATTTCTGTCTTGGTCAAGATTCCTTGTCATAATTACAACAAGATTTAATTTCTGTGATACAGTTTTGAAAGAAAAATAATTTTTAATGAAAAGGCTATATACAACTTTGATATTGTTCTTGTAAACTTGTTGTAGAGCCAACAATGGCTAGGTACAACTGTTGAATTGTGAAATCATGGAAGTTGAATTTTTGCCTCTTCCTGCATTTTGTTAGTACTAACTTGTTGACCACTTGAATGTTTTGGTCCTAACAGTTCCTTCATTGTTCTAATAGTTCCCTTCTCCCGCCTCTATCTTCACTGTAGAATCATGAACAAGTTCCATTGTCACACCTAACACACTGTCATCATTTACCAATCTCACCCACCTCAGTAATAACTATCATAATCTTGCTCCATTGCATGCACCTTTATGTTGATTGTGTTTATGCATGATTTGATAGTCCAGGCAAAATGGACCATTTTTGAGGGGGTGAGCCAGGAAAAAGTTGCAACAGAACTTTAACCATGCATGACTCCATTATTCCAACCATGTGCTCTTCTAACCCCACAGACTCCCAAAACACACCTGCCCAACCTGTTCAACCACCCTTTAAACAATATATCAACCACTCAACCATCCCATAAACTACACACCCAACCTGTTCAACCACCCTATAAACAATATATCAACCACTCAACCATCCCATAAACTATATACCCAACCACTCAACTACCCTACAAACAATATACCCAACCACTCAACCATCCCATAAACTACACACCCAACCACTCAACCATCCCATAAACTACACACCCAACCACTCAACTACCCTACAAACAATATACCCAACCACTCAACCATCCTACAATCTGCACATAACCACTCAACCATCCCATAAACTACACACCCAACCGCTCAACCACGCTACAAACCACACACTCAACCAGTCAACCATCCAGGTCAATCTTAGCATTAGGCTTAGGACTGATTTTCCCACTAAACAGCTGCTATTTCTCTAGAAACTTCCTCCATGTGTAAATATCATGTGTGCAACTTATATGATGCGTTGAAGGTGGCTATAGGCTGTAGTGGGTTGAGTGGTGAACATCATTTTGGAGATAACAGAGAAGTTAGGACGCAGACAGATTTTGAAACTCTGTCTGGCCTTGAGTGGTGTATTACCTACATTTTTACCTGCAACTTATAGGTTAAATAATTCCAACTTTACCTGTTCCTGCTAAAGTTGTGTTCAGGTGCATAACTAGATGTGTAGGTTAATGGTTTGCTGTTTTTATATATTGTACTGGTGATTGCCAACTATGTTGATTTGATTTCAGTTTGTACCATGCTCACCCTGCACACACATACATACATATACAATGTTTGAATGGTACCTGATAATATGTAGACGAAGCAGTATTGAAAGGATGTGCACTTTGTTTTTTACTGTATTGTTACATGTAAAATACCAACAGTGAAAAGCATTGCTTGTTACTTCAGATATATGAATAGCATAAATCTCTTGCTTGCGTATGTCTTCCACGTGTCCTTTGTTAACGTGCATCCTGAATTAGTTTTACCTGAACTGGAAATAGCCTAATTGACATCACGGGTTAACCAAGATGTGCTATTCTAAAGGGGCTATGAAGGCCCTCTGTGCCTTGGTTGTATGTAGTGCATGAATGGTTGGGTAAACAAGTTGAGGTCAGACAAAATTAATAATTTGGTTAATGATGGACAACTCTCTGTAAACAGAGTCAGAATTTGTTTTGGATTTTGGTTTGCTTTTAGACATGATTTGTAATGAACATGACAGCTTAATTTTTGAGTCAATGTTTTATTTAATGGGGGTCAAAATTCAATTCCACAGTGTGGGTGATTTAAGGATATAAAAACAAGAATACTTTTGTATTTCTTGGCATAAATTGTAAATTTCTTCCCACTTACTGAACTAATACCCAAGGTATTCTTACCTTTGGAAAAAAAAAACAGGTATGCAAAAATCAGATTGCTATAAAATAAGGCTAGGTTGCACTTGCTAACCAATGTATCAGTTTTGTCTCTCCTTATGTCACAGAGGCTCAGAGTGGTTTTCAAGGTCTCCAGTAAGGTCAAGAGCATGAGATGTTCATACTGGAGCCGAGAAACCATTACTGCACTTTCTGGCTTTTGCCCACCTGATAGCATAATCGTAATGCATATTTTATGGCACTGACATGCTAAAACATTGGCTAGGTAGCTGGGAGCTCCTTCTACAGTGATGGATGTTCTCCTGTTGGGTTTTTGCCTGCGGAATTGTTATGTGCCAAATACCAATGCACACTGGTATTATTAACCTTTTTGATGACATGGATAGACACGGCAAAAATTCTGAAGGTACCACAGGCTTAAAGGCCATAGGCCCATAACCAGCAAATTCAAAAAGCAGGGGTTTTTTTCCGAAAAAGTGGACCTTTAACAATGATACCTTTGTGTGCCTAGATCAAATTGTACCCAGAATGGACCTTTT